GGCCTATGGCCATGTATTAATGAGACACTGGAATCACATGCAGCTATCACGTTTACTCAGTTTGTGTCCCTTAGTGATGTTACCATTGGATACGGGCAGATAACACACTATAGCAGCCCAAGGTCAGGCATTTCAATTGGGTTTAAATCTAAGTTACATTAAAAAGACAACATCAATGTGAAAGGATTGGTATTGGAGATTACCGTAGTATTACAGTGCTGTATCAGGGAATGATACAAGAGCATTTTTAGACAAGGTTCACATTTTTGCATCTATAACCAACAGCAACTATTAATATACAAGGAAGTTATAAGTTAATAAACAAGAAAGGGTACCCCATGCCACAAATCTTCTGAGTTATGGTGACAGAAAAGGAAAAGAATTACATTTATACATACACTTTATTCACTTGGGCTATATCCCAAGCACAATTGTTAATCCACCTTTTAAATCGTTCCATGCTAGATGTTTATGAGTATATATATTTATAGGGAGCATAAATGTAATGTGTTTCCATAATAATGGTATCTTTAGATAACCTTGCACAGTGAGATGGATTCTCGAGAGAAACAGTCTTGAGAGACTCCTGCTGTGAAGTTTATCGGGGGTGGAACAATCACAATCACTGAGTTTTGTGCAGAAGTCAAAAGTCAAGCTCCCATGTAACAAACATGGCAAAGCTGACAGATGTACTTCAGCCTATATTAGCATCAATAGTGACTACCAGTATTTTGTTTGTGGACAACATGCAGAAGGTAAGCGCTCTGTGCATTTGTGAACAGGGAAGATGTCTGTGCTTTTCTCGCAGCGAGATATAGAAAAAAATTTGATTTTTTTAGCTTGTTCCGCTATTGTGAAGCTTCAACCAATCAAATTCAAATAGTTGTCATGATGTTCTGTGTTTTTCGTTTGCTTTCAGTGAGAGTCATCCCAGACTGATTTGTAGAACTCAATTCAAAGTGCTACACATATCAATCTGGAGTTTTTATACAGGCCCAAAGTTACTTAAAACTAGAGCCTTTTACAATATTTCAGGAATTAAATCACTGATGGGTTTGTAAACCTGTGACTTACATGTACAAACACATAATAGAAGTGACATTTCTCACAATGAAGCTGACAACAACCTGTCAGCTTAGATTGCTGCTTTATTTTCAATACGTAGAAGATGCTCACAACAGAGTGAGTAAAAATAGATGTAAGTACAATAATATTGCTCATCTGAAATTTAAAGGAAGAATCACAAATATACCTAAATAAGATGGAATGTCAGTCCCTACCAACTGACTATAATATTTTCACCATATGTCATACATGTAACAAGGGAAGAAGGCAGAACAAACAAGATGTGGCAAGCATGTGAAGAGTGTATGCCAAATACTATGGATCTTATAGTTGACAGATGGCAACTAACTGCTCGTGGGAATAAACTGGATATGGTGGTATATACTGACCCATCTCATGAGAAAATAATGTTCAGAGCATTAGGACAAAGCGATATGGTCTAAAATCAATATTGCTAACTAAAATAGGATATTTGTACTGCAGTATATTGAAATAATATACTTAATTATCTTGGCCTATAGCTATACTTTTTGCCTCCACAGGTCTGTCATTACTGTCATTATCTATACTTTTACTGAGATTCTGCAGTTAATATTACACTGTTTTGTATGTATTATTGGTGGCATTCATGTGCAATCTATACAGTTGTTAAAAGTATCAAAAATAGATATAGATAGATACAAGAAGGTATTAATGCTAAAAAAGTCACATTCACAGGACAGATATAAGCTTTTCCTGAATAGCTTTAGAAGGCTCTTGAGCTGTATCGAACCTACCTGGCCGACTGAGGGATCACACAGACACCAAAGGGTAATATAAAAGAAAGTACTATGATTTAATATCGAAAATTACCTAAGCTTGTCTAAAGAATGAGTGTTTTTATTATTATAATCAAGGTATTGGAAACAGTATTGAGTATTAGTCTATGCCTTAGTATTAAAATCAAGTTTGAAATTTAGCATTGTAACACTAGTCTATATGTCTGTGCCTTACAGGCTGAGATGAAAACCATTTGCGGTTTCTTATACAAATGATATAAAATGTCATATCACCCCAAAATTCCTATGTAAATATTATATTATCATATTTCCTGAAACGAGAAAGAATAAACAACAAAAACCTAGAATGAGATATCTAGCCTAACCTGTTAAATTTCTGCACACTGGGACTGGACCCAAATTGAGTCCATATCAACAAAGGATCACTGTATAGCCATAACTATAACAGCAATTTCCCATTATATGTGCTTAAACCTTTACACCATAACAATCTGTGTGAGTGAGAATGCACTATGACCAGGCAGACAGGCAGTGTGGTAACCCGCTGTGATCCTGACTCAAAATACCCAGTGAGGGGGAGAGATAGCGGGCTAGAGGCAGAGAGGACAAGGCCAAGACCAATTACTAACAGTGCATAGGGACGGAGGGGCGCAGATATAGAGGGAGTTATTTCCACTGGGTTTTGAAGAGGAGAGAGAGTCTACGTCCGGTCGCTCGTTCACTTGATTAATTTGTGACAGGAGGGATTTCAGAGCAGCGTGCCTTGAATTGCGGCTCTAATTTATATGGTAATCTTCCATAAGACTCAGGCGGCATGCAAAACCTTTTATTTTGTCTTGGTCTATAAGCCTGTCTGTACCAAGTATGTATCTCTCTATTACACAACAGTTTGCAAGTGTGTTTATTAAGATTATGTATGAAAATATATGTATAATGACCAATTTAAAACTAACTGCATTTTGTGTTTCATTTCTACATCTGTTTCTCAATCGATCAGCTCTCAAAACATTCATTTCCTCACAATCACCACTGTCTAAATGAATATAACAATTCAAGCATACTTGCACAACTTTTCTGGTGGAGGACCTGCTACTTGCTTGTCTCTATAGAGCTGTTACTGCTACTATTTCACAGTATGGCTTTGAATTTATCAATCTCCATGGAGACAATCAAGTGACGCTACCAAGTCCAGATCACAGTAAGAGTGCACGTTTTGAAAGTTATTTCTTAGTAATAAAAACGTTGGTTATTTAATGAATGCACGATAGATATGCAAATGTCGTACTGTGAAATATTCTAAGCACAGCAATAAGATCCCCATGGAGAAAAGATGGCAGACCCAACCAACCAGAAAAGATACACAGAGCACCTTTATAAATAATCGCTTTTAAGCACAGTTTCAATCCTGGGCTAAGCATATTCTCAACTCTCTAAAATCCAAATTATCCACACAAGTAGTGGATAATACAGCATGAAACTAAACCCTCTTATGTTGTAGCCTTTTTTTAACATTCAAAGTACCGTCTTATTACGCTAAATTACATTGAAAACAGTTGTCTGTCAGCACACATCATCTGTCATGTCAAGTGTATGTAAAATGCAGAAAGATTAAGGCTTGCGGTCTGGCCTTGGGGGTGTGAGGGGAGAAGACTGCACTTTGCAATGTAATCACATCATCTGGGTTTAATTACCTAGTGGTGCTCTACAGTGCAGCGCGTGTATTACTTTTCCGACACTTCTGTGCTAATAAGATCAGAGGATAAATCTGCACACTGAATCGCCTTCATCTGTGGAAATCTCACCGTAATGATAAATTATGGAAGGATGGATTTTAAGGCTCAATATTGTGATGGAGACAGAGTGTAAAGGGACTGACCGGAATATTTGTCATATTGGTTTTAGACTTGGTTAGAGTTCCAATGCAGGTTTTTTGGTGGAGGGTACACCACCTGCTTGCCTCCATGGATGTTAATGCTTTGCATGGAATCGTCCATAGTATGGCAATAAACACATTATATTTGCCTTCACTCAATGACAAGTGTTTCAACTGCCAAAAAAAAAAAGTTATTGGCTCATGCTTGAGTTTAGTAGCTGATTTTGTGTTTACTTCCACTGAAAGTTGTACCATTCTCTACTTTAGTATCATTTTATTGCGTTATTGCTTTGCCGTACAACATATGGTTTAGCAAAAGTGAAAAACAATTTAATGGCTGGATTAGGGCTTTTGAAAGTCCCAACTCCAACTGTTTTCTAATTAGTATTGAACAAAAATCCGCAAGCATGACACAGTAATATACTGCTCGACCGCTTTTGCACCAGAAGACCTAAAATCACTGTCCTCTACATGTAATGCCTGGAAATACACGCTCCTTAGAGACGCACAGCAGAGATTTTTCTCGAGTGTGGGCTGCTGGTTAAAGGAATCCATTTTTCTCATTTGGCGTGTGGATTGAAATAAAATCCCCAGAGGATTCTGGACATACGCAGGTTTGAAAATGGAGTTGTATTCCTCTTTTAGCCCTGTCATGTGTCCATCCCCTCCAGAGGTGAACGTGCTCTCACCATAGCAAACTTCAGTTAAAGAGAATTGTCGGCTCTATACAGTAGAGCAGTAAAAATATTAGTGCATGCTTTGCTGGTAATCCTTTAAGCCTACTGGAACCTTTGCAAGCCAGGCTAAAGACAGATATTTCAGCTACATTTTAAGATATGTTTTACATTGTCCAAGGTCATACTGCTATCGAGAAAAATACATTTTGCACTATAAAACAGCTGTGATACACTGTATAAATTATTATTTATTGGCTAAATCTGCCATGCTTACTGCAAGCAAGCAAATCCAACATAGAGATGCATGTCTCAAAGCAATATAAAAAAAAAAAAAAATTTTCATTTAATTTATCATATAAATATAGTCAGAATTCTTTTGAATGAATATTCAGCCTCTGACAGCTCTCTACCTTTCTACACACCCATTTATTAATAAAAAAAAAAGAATGTTATTTGATATTGGACAGTGCAGGCCAAGATTCACTACAAATGTGCATGACTGGGCAGCGGCTCACCACTGGGTTTCTGATGGCACCAAACCCTTGTACTGTGTATTTGCATGTACTTCACCTGGTCATAATGTTATGACTGATCTCTTGTTCGTACCTGTGAGCAGCTCTCGGATCTCCACGTCCGTTGTCTTCCTGAGCAGCCGGACCAGAGCAGGGATGCCTCCACAGTTTTTCAGGGCGATCTTGTTGTCATCGTTGGCTTTGCCATAAACCAGGTTTCGGAGAGCTCCACATGCGCTGCGGTGAACATCTGTCATCCTGTGGTCAAGCAAGTCCACCAGCAGCTGGATCCCACCCTGTCGTCGGATCTGAGAAGCAGACACAGAATACACTTAGAGAAGTTCATGCGCAAAAGCTGATTTCTTTTTCCCTTTTTGTTATTACCTTTTACAGGTATTATAAATGAAAGTGGCATTGAGTGGATTTGATCAGGAAGGGAGGAAAATAATTGTACTGCGCTAAAATAGCCGAAGCTTTTGAAAACATTCAGTTACAAAGAGGAAAAAATAGAAGGCCGTAATATATATTTTTTTTCTTTTTTTTTATGGAACTTGTCTGTTATGTGAACATTCTGCACAAAATATACTTACAAATAGAACAGCAAATTTATAACAAGTACACTACCAGTCAAAAGTTAACGTAAACATACGGAAGATATCAAATATATAATGCAAGATATATAGATATATAATTATGTAGTAAAGAAAAAAAAACTCAACTAAATATATTTTTTTATTTACATTTAATTTCAAAGGAAATAATAGCAAAATCAACACCCATTTCTGCTTATATTTAATCTAGAAATGACTGGCAGACTTTACGACTTTTGTGAATCTCCCAGTTACCGTCTCGACAAAGACTTTAAAACACATAACCCGATTTAGCTGCCGTACAGATGGTGCAGATAGGTAGAGGATCTGTCAGCCCAATAGCTCTGCTCTTAAAATACAGCTTTCTCCACAAAGTACTCCATCCCTCTGCACCTGTAGGCCACTATTTCACCTACAGAAAGGTAAAATTGCTGCACCAATCTAGGGGGCTAACATACGTTTATTGTGCGGACACCAAGTATATTTTTCAGCCTTTTCTATGAGCCATTGATGTCTGGAGAACTTTGTTTGTCCTTAAATCTACTGTCTCCATGGGGATTAATAAAGAGCAATTGTGCTGGATTGAGCCGACATTGAAGAGACAGACAGCGGCAGTTTCACCAAGAGGCTAATTGATGGCCACTGCTGAGGGCAGGAGCACCGGCAAGGAAAGGGAGGTATTTGCAATAGCTTCAAGTGTCTGCAAGGAATACATGCTTCATACAAAACAGAACTACTACAACTTTTTTGAAAGAAAGGTAGAAACTATACTACTACTTAGGGGTGTCAAATTATCGCGTTAATTGCGATTAATTAATTACAGTCATATTTAGCGCGTTATGTTTTTTAATCGCGTTAATCTCATTTTTAATCTCTAACTTTATTGTTTCTGTATGCGAGTTTCTTTATTATAAAATCAGTTTTTATGTGTTGTTGGGACAACAACACACACACACACACACAAAAAAAAAAACACATTTATAAATTTTTTTATTTCGGTAATTCCACTCATTGCCGGAAACCCACACAAAACGCGCGCAATAAGAGCGATGTAAATGTCATGTTAATGTTGGCGGCGTCAGTTGCACAATGGACGAGGTCGAAGAGCCAGTAGAACAGAGTCAGCAGTGCACAGGTAAAAACGCATTCGTGTCTTGGAAATTATTCTCCCGACGTGAAATATAAAAGAAAATAACAAATAGAAAATCGCCTACAACTTAAATGTCACTGGTGAAAACAACCTGCCACATGAGGGGAGATGCACACAAACACACACAAATACACACAAACACAAACCAACACAAACACACACCTTCATCATCGTCATTAACCTGAGAACGCGCGGACCACGTTTCCTTCCGTAGTTACTGCGTGGACACCGCTGTCCTCCCGTGTGCCGCGTACGTTTTCTCACGTACGCTGCGTAAACCGCGCTTCCTCCTGTGCGCCTCTAAACCAGAACTAACACCAAGACTAAAACTGGGACTAACCCAGTCCAGGACTAAACCAGGACTAAACCAGGTCTAAACCAGGACTAAACCAGGACTAAACCAGAACTAAAACCAGAACTAAAACCAGAACTAAAACCAGGTCTAAACCAGGTCTAAACCAGAACTAACACCAAGACTAAAACCGGGACTAACCCAGTCCAGGACTAAACCAGGACTACAGTAGGACTAAAGCAGGTCTAAACCAGGACTAAAACAAGGACTAAAACCAGTGATCTCATATATAAAGCATTTCTCTATCAATAATATTTTTAATATGGTTAAAGAAAGACTGGACTTTTTATTGTCTTTAAGTAGACAAAAGTTATTATGTTCAGATTTCCTGGTCTTTGCTACTTTACAGCAAACAGTTTCTTATTCATGGAGACTTGGGCTCAACAGCCAATTTGAAGAGAACAAACAAGAACAACATTTGCAGGATGCGGTTGCTACATTCATGTAGTTTTAAAAAGCATGAGAATATCAAGTAATCCAAAGTATTCAAATTACGTTACTCACTTTAAGTAATTAAATGGATTAAGTTACAAACTACATTTTGGGATATGTAATCTGTAATCTGTAGGGAATACATTTTAAAAGTCACCTTCCCAACACTGCAGATTATTAATAGTAATAATAATGATGATACTGTGGAATGTAAGTGACTGCATCTGTTAAAGTTTGTTAAACAATAAATGACTTTATAAAGTCACTTTTTTTTGTTCTATATCAGTCTCTTGATCTGCCACAAAAATGTAATAATGAATTTAAATGAAAATACCTCAAATTGAAGGCTTTTCTCAGCAATTTTTAGGTGAGATTAAAAAGAGATTAATTAGATTAATTAATTACAGATCATAATTAATCTCTCAATTTTTTTAATCGCATGACAGCACTACTACTACTACTACTACTACTACTACTACTACTACTACTACTACTACTACTGCTACTACTACTACTACTACTACTACTAGACTGCTCATATAGTAATAACACATAATATTACATAAATTATAATAAAAACTAAACTGTCTGGTTTAGTCCTGGTCAAATCCAGGGTCAGTTCCTGTTTTTGTCCTTGTTTAATCCCAATTTAACCCCAACAATTTTAATGTGGTGTATGTAAGTCTGAATGCACCCTAAAACATTTATACATTGTCCTAATGAGGGAGGGCTGGGCTTTATGACTATTTATCAAGATTCTCAATCCAATTTTACTTTGCCTTATTAACAGCAGAGGATTGGCTGTGGACCTCTTTCTAAAAAACTCCAAGCACTGACAATTAGAAATGACTGAATCTAAATCTTGATTAAATTTGATTAACTGCACAGCCTTAAGCAAAATGTACTTTAGTTATTAGCAGTTGCAGCAGGCTTTTTCCTAAACCTTGCATGTCTTTCTCTGTGTTGACGTCAAAGCCTTTACAAAGATAAATAGCCTATGCAGCCTGTACATGATGACCCCAATAACTCATATAATACATTCAGTACATGTGGATGTTTGAACTGTCGGGTAATGGCCCCTCTGCATTTGCCACACTGAAGTATAGACCTGTTTGGGAGCTATAATATGGCTCTTTTGTATGAAACAACATGAAGACACTGGGTGAAAACTGTTGCCATGGTGCTGTGTAGCTGTCTTTGATACTGTGTTTGTGCAACAGAGGACAAACCTAGGGCAGCCTGTAAATAATTATGTGTGTTTCTATTGCCTGTCAAAACCAAAAGGGTTATATTTTTTCTTTTTGTTGTTGTTTTGGTGGTCAATATTAAAAAAAACCTGAGCAATATTTAAAAATATATACAGTATATCAAAAGAAAAGAATAAAGTTTTCAAGGGTAGGCTGTTTGAGGCATCAGTTTAGGATTAGTTTATGCAAAAATTTGCTATAAAGTGGAATAGTGGTGCCATTATTTATACCCCAAATATGTGATTGTAGTCAAGTAAAAGGCCTTAAAACCATAAGGATAATTTGTAAGTTTCTGGAAACAATACTTTACACATAATGGGAAGGTTCAGCATTATAACTTTTGAAATTTCTTTCAACAGTGAATCTCCTGAAAAGACACAGACCCCTTCCCTCCATCTGAAATTATGACATCTGCAAATTCTCAAACATTAACTCAACCTATTGCACACCCCTTGTCATAATTCTATACATATAACAACATTTTTATACAACTATGTTTGCATGGTGATACCTCAGATTTGATCTTGTTGTCTCCGAAACAGAGGTGCTGCAGGTAGGCCGCGGCATTCGACTGAACTGATGGAAACTGATGCTGCAACATCTGGATGACCTCCGGCAGCTCTGGGTCCCTCCAGCCAAACTCTCTGAGAACACACAGGAAAGACAATAGAGATGAAGACAGGCACGAAACACTTTTGAACAAGAGCATCTGTTGGTTTATCTGATAGTGCATGGTGATGTGCTGAATACAAATAAAAGAGGGAAAAGAAACAAAGATATGTATGTATTCGAATAATAATAATGAGCTTTATTTCTATCCAAGGTCACCTCAGAAAATCATCTGCCTCAGCCTGCATGTATTAACATAATATGGATTTAGCATAACTTTTGCCCATGAGCTCTTACAAACACGGTCCTTTTTGTTTATCTGAACTGGGGACTAGCACAAATGCTTTTAACCATCTCAATCAGCTTTTTAAAAAAAATATTTTTTATAAAGGCCTTTTCAAAAAGCACATCATCAAGTTCCCCAGTGAGTTCTACCATTTCTTCTTGAGCAATAAATACTAACTCACAATTCTATCATTTGTGTCTTTGTTTCACATGTAGCCCTGCCTGGGCAGTCTCTAACTTCTTTTCATGAGATCAGGATTCTCTGCTACACCCCTGCTCATGGGTCCCTATCTTTAAAAGAAACAGAAATTAAACATGAAGTGATCATTAATCAATCTACATTTTACAAAATTCAGAAAACAATATGAGCTAGAACAAGCAAAAAAAGAGCCAGTACTTTGTAGTGCCAGCTTTGTTGATAGTGTGGCCCTGGGCACATCTTGCCTAAACTACACTGCACACATGATGAAACACATCTAATAAAAGGATAGAAAAAAAAAGGCTACAGGAAAACTTAGAGCACTTTTAATACTCCATTATGAAGTGCGGAAGTCGATCGAAGACTGCATGTCCACATATAAAAGTATGATAACCCAAAATCCCATTGATCTGAGAATATATCTGAGTCTTATGGATGAACAGTAGGAGCTTCCCTTATTTTCTGACTGGTCCGATGCTTTGGTCTGACAGAGGAACGTGAATGTGTGTGCCTCCAGGCTGGCTTTAGGCAAAAAGAGGCTCCTCTCCACCACACAGAGCTTAGCTGGGCCTTGAAGTGCAAAATGTACAGTGGTGTGAGGGAGAGAAAGAGACTTGATGAGCGTGAGAACTATCAGATGTCAGCCACTGAAGTTATGGTAATGTTCAAAGGCAAAAGGGAGGCAGGTTTTAAACAAGTCGATTCTCTGTAACCAATGGCAACAGCATCAGGATTGAGAAGATGAGGAGTTGTGTTTTTTGGCAATTATGTTTTATTAACGTTCATACAATTTAAAGGTACACTGTGTAACTTTTCTAGTGGAGGGTCCGTTACCTCCTCGTCCCTCATTGCTTTAGAAAGCTCCACAGTACTGCATTAAATGTATTTTATCTCCATGGAGACAAAAAAGTGACATGTCAGATCTGTGAAGGGGTGGCACTGCTCATGTTTTTTAAGCAATAAAAACACCTGTAATTGAATAAATGCAAGATAGATCAATTTAATTCTACAAAGCAACAACAACTTCATGGGAAAAAAATCTGATGACGGACCCTCCACCAGAAAAGTTACGCAATGCACCTTTAAATGAGTAATTTTGTCTACAGTCCAGACCAATAAATCAATCTACAGTATTATTCTAAAAAAATCTGTCAAATTTCACACTAGTGCCAAATTGTACAAATAGTACACTGACTTAACATCCTCAGGCAGTACAGTACAATTGTTAATTATATGGTCTTGAATAGAATATTTTGTTTTAATTCAACATCTCTAAATATTGTAGAATAAGTGGCCACTACTCTTGATGATGGATTCAGGCATCTTAAAAATAAAATTAAACACACAGGCCAACAGCAGGGAAACTATCTGCTTCAGTCTTTTTGTGCAAATCTCACACCAGAGAAAATTTACTTCAGTAAAATTATCACACGTACACTGTAACACTCTGATAGTATTTCCCTATGACAAACAATGACAACCAAACACAAGAAGTAAATCTAAATGGATTAGAACACACAAATAAATAAATAAATCCTCTGAATATTTTATACTTATTTTTGTGACTAATTTACACTGAATCAGGCATTTCATTTGTGATTAAGCCAGTTATTTCAGTTCTCAAAGTTGATGGACTGAAAGCAGAACAAATGAATGAAGTGTGACTATATTGTCATGGTTATAATCAGTTTATTAGAGGAATAGAAATCCCCCATTAAATCCTGCATTTCAGAAATAGCAGGGTTTCAGTTGACATCACAATACTCTATATTCCAATAATATTTAATAAAGATGAGCACAGCTAAAATTAATATTGCTTTAAAGCAGACCTTTTTGTTAATATAGTGAATTCTATAGGGTCTAGTCACTGATAGAAATGATCATGGTCAACATTTGTGAATTGACCCCATCTGGCAGTATGGCATTATCACATTGTAGAATCTGGGTACATAAATGAAAACCTAATCATTTATATTAAAGAAAAATACCATGATGATCAGATTAACCAAAACAAATCTAAATGTCTGCACTCAAAGCCTTCAAACATGCCCTGCTCCCTTTTAGGCACGTTCCACCCCACATGTATTAATACTATTATGCACGTATACTAGTATCAGGCCCCATTACTGTGATTAGAGGTGACATAACCTTGTGTAGGTCACCTTGTGGGCTAATTGACTTGATAAAACAAGGCTGCGTTAGCAGCAGGGTGGGCTGTCACATGTGTTTGTGTGTTGTAATTAGAACGAAGGGACACTCGATAAGAGCAGAGATACACATGATGCTGACCATCCATCTCTGCAGCTGTGAGGACACTGTGAGGCCTGGACCAAATGGTGACCATAAAGTGGAATGGAGGAGTGGTCATTGGCATCACGCATTAAAGATTATGAGCTCCAGGAAAATGGTCAATGTGACTTCTTTGGGGACTGACGCAATAGAGGGCAAAAGGGATATTATTGTTGGTTCTGGTCTAAAAATAATCCAACTATATCCATCTATCTCAGATTTATTGTTTTCACTATATCTACGGAATGAGCAACAAGTCATAGCAAAAAGATTATTCTTAAAACTGATTTCTGGGATTTTCAGTTCACCCACTACAACAAAATACATTTAGTGTGCATCCTATGATCCAAAGTAAAGTTCACCCAAGTGGTAGCTTTCATGTAGAAAAGAATAGACACTTGAATGGATCCTGGTTGTCAGCGCACAGCCATACACCCACATGCTCTGAGTGACTACAGCATGTGAGATCCATTTATTGTGTGAAATAAAGAAGGACATAAACAGCTGCCCAAAAAAATCTAAAAAAAGAAAAATTTCAATGTAATAAAAACAAATAGTAGTGGCTGCAGGAGTGAAACATCAAAGCCCATCTTACTCAAATCATGGCTCAGGGCTGTGACGCTAAAAATGTATTAAACTTAAATGTGCAGCTCCACTCTACATGTCAGAGATCCACAGACCAGCATAGTGAAGAACACTGAGGAAAATCATACTTAAAAATGTACATTTAATGGTGCACAATATAATGTAACTTTTAAAACTGTAGTATGGCCTTAAAATGGTCTATCTTGTGATAATTCAATCATGTGTGATTGAACAACACCTTCAAAAACAAGCATCCATAGTGTGAGGAGGGTTGCCTCCCCACAGATCTGATCTGTAACTTGGCTTTGTCTCTATGGAGTTAGATATGTTTTAATAGGTGACTTACTCTCCAACAGAAATGTCACATAGTGCTCTATGTGAACCAGATGCCCAAATGCTAAAGCAATGCTAGTATAATACCACACATTCAGTACATTGACCTTGTTTAAATTTTCCAATCATAAATTATTTTTTTATTACTCTGGCTGCTTCATTTCACCCTAAAATATGTTCAAAGACTCTACAGCATCTGAATCTGGAGAAAAGTTGAGGGCTTCTGACAAGTTGCTCCACTGCCAGTCTACCCTAATTTAACCGAAGTCTAACATTGGTTAACACACTTTCAAACCAAAGGGCAAAGATCTGTCAAAAAATTATCAGCAAATCTCCCTACTACAGTCTCTTCTGTTGTGCATCCCTTTGTTAGAGAACATTAGAGTACAAGATGTCTCAGCACAATGACTGATAATATGAACTTCCAGCAGTATAGTTCACTGTAGGGAACAAAAATATACTTGTTTCAAATATGTCTCTACAAACTACAGAACTAGCACCTTTTGTCTGAGTGTCTCTATCAAAATGCTGCATATAAGAGAAAGCTAAAACCATAGGATAGGAATGACTTACCAGTGTCTAATAGAAAAATACTTTTAGCAGAAAAATATCAATTTTCACATCACCAAAAGGGCAACAATCTGAAACTAAATAAAGTAATGATTTCAGCTATCAAAGTCCAGATATCCAGGCTATTAGCTGCACCCTTACAATGGAAAACAGACTAATTTGTGTCTTGCTGAGAGGCGCTGAACCGCAGAAGATGAATATCAGGTGAACCAGCTCAAATGGGGCACATTTCCACTTCAGTTGTCATCATTTTATCACTAAATATTTTTGCTCTAATGCGCCAGAGGCAAATGCAGTGCTTTAGAAATCTGCCCAAACGTATCATGTCCTCAATATATTTTTCATCAAACATGTTTCCGAAAGGCAGCCATTTTACATTCTGCATCTGTATAGTTTCAGGAGATTGGAGCTTACCCAAACTAAGAAACCTAAATGGAATACATGATGTCAGTCATTTAGGATTAACGCAAAACACCATTTGCTAATATTAATTCAGTTAGAGCAGTTTACTTTGCCAGTTTCACAACTGAGAGAAGTTGAGCAGAACCCATAATACTAGAATACTTCTACTGTTTTTCATTTCCTTAAAGGTGCACTATGGGTAACTTTTCAGATGTTACTGCTTTGCCTGAATATTCCACAGAAAGGCATTAAACATATGTTGAACGTATTCAATTGCAGGTGTTTTTATTGCTCAAAAACACACTTTCTTATTGTGAGCTGGGCCTCTCCACAGATGTGACCTGTAACATGGATTAGTGGTTTCAACTGCTTGTCTCCACAGAGTGACTGAATACCATATTGTGTCGAAATTCATAAAAATGAAAAATAACACCTTTGCATCACCTATGTCATACTGATAAGCTGAAAATGACTCTAGCACCATTCAGTCCATTGTCAAAAATACCCAATGCAGTATCAAATGAAAAATGAATGCAAATCCCACCACCTAAATTAACTTCAGTATGTTAAAAAGTACTATTTCCTCTAATTGTCTCCTCTTTGTCCCTGTCCATCCAGGTGGGCTCTCTCCTCCTGTGTTTGTTTATACTGTATGCGTGTTTCTATCACACCGCCAAAGCATTCACACCACAATGAGCCCACAATTAAAGCCGGTAAAAACATCCACAGAGTCTGAATTATAGAGAGGCTGGAGGCAGATCACGGCTATATCGGGCTGAAAGGATTTCCTATGAGTCAGGCTTTTGGGGAATAGTGTTTTGGAGCCTACGATTGCTGTGCATGTTTTGCTGCTGCTGAGCGCTGTCGCTGAGTCATTCTGCACAGAGACAGACAGACAGGGTCCCACTGAGTGAAGAGGAGAGAGGGGACAAGGAATGCTGATTAACCACATTAACTTTGGAGCGGACAACTTTGAAAGCTTTGGAAAGACTGTTAGGTAACAAATGGGCAAATCAATGTTAAACTGCAAAGTCCATTAACTTGTTTTATTGTAACCGCAAACGGTGAAATACTCCAGTCAGTAACTGCCCTTGAAATTATCCCAAGCCTCTGTCTGATGTAGAGAATATCATTGTTTGAATCGTTTCACTTTGTAATAGGAAAGTGTTTAAATAAAGCAGTTATATATAGTCATTATTTTAGCCCTACCACTGGCTTATAAACGGTTGCAATTTCTATCCAACAAATTGCAACAGTGTATTTGAAGTACACAACTCTTTTATGAATTGATGTAATTACAGTTATTTTTATTTAAGCTGTATTTAAACTTTATTTAAGATACTCTTTAATTCTTTTACAGTGTAAGGGAAAACCTATTACTATTATTACTACAATACAATTATCAATGTATCAATGATACAATGATCAGGTCTAGCCAAACTTTATATAATTACCACAGAGGGAGTCTAATCCATTTGACAGATAAAGAAATGGTAAAAGAGAGTGACCGTAATAGAGTCTACAAAGTAATACGAGTGGAAAACATGAGTTTGTTTTTGGAATATATAATAATGTATGGTATAAATCTTAGTTAGTGTTTCAGCATATTGTTAAACAGTGTGAAACATTATGCACTCCCTTCTGCCTCTGTCCTCTCCTGACCTCTAATCAGTGTAAAAGAAATAAGACTCCTGCAAAAGGCGAACACAATAATAGCCACAAGAACAGAGCCTTCCCTGGAGAGAACACCTAAATGGGCACCAACAGAAAAAGAAAATGCAAAACAAAAAATAATTAAATGGCATTGAAAAAGCATCAGGTCAAGTTAACAAAATGAGGAAAAGATCCAATTTTGAGAACTGTTTTGTATTATTGTGTTGTTATTGGGGTATTTTAGAATATCTTTTGACACAAGATAAGATAAGTTCAGTTATACTAAAGCAAAAACGTGCATGCATTATAATCCTAAGACTAAACAAAGACCAAAATAAGGCTAAAAGATTGAATAAGGAAATTCATTTGCACCTTATACCACTGTATCTACCCCTGCCTATGGTATTTTGTTGTGTTGTGCATGCTAGAAGTGCCTCAATAGTGCATATGTTTACACAATCTTTGAATCTTGAAAAAAATCTTTTTCTTACATTTTAATTAATAAAAGAGTACATTTCTATCAGAAGATAGCCAATATACAATACAGATATTTTTGAGATACATTGTCCAGCCATATACAATTCCCAAAAGAACGCTGGGATGAGTATGCATGGTTTGTGTGCTGGCTTAGTTGAATTTGAGAATGCGAGGTGAGGCCATAGGAGATGGGAAAAGGTCAGAAGAAGCCAGGCAGAAACAGACAAACACAATGCCGTGTCTCCACATGGTCAGTATGGATCACAGCTCTGGTGGCTTCTAAAAGCATAAAATCACATCAGGCACCTCTACGCTCGGCAAGATGGGCCCTTACATAAGACCTCCAATTTAAACTTGAGCACACAAGTGAAGGATGTGACAGTTTAGACAAGCTCAAGCAATCTCACTTATAGGACATAAGGCTTTACTGATATCATGATACTTAAAAAGAATGTGGACTTAAGGCAGATGCATGGCAATCTGGTGGGACATCTGAAATTGCTAGTCCAAATTGAAGTATAGTGCTAGACATCTAGGTGTTATTTTACAGTAACAGTTTGTATGTGTGAAAAACGTTTAAGTTAGTAATGATTAAGCACATACTTGAATGCGAAAATATGTATTATTTTCACCTCTAAATTACATTTCTGAAGCCATATTCTGAGTTTAATTTTTTACACAATAGTTAAATAATAATAACATATTTTTTTTCCCCTAAATCTATCTTATCCCACCTTTTAGTAACAACACAGTGAATAATGAAACAAGCCACACAGCACAATGACAAACCACCAGGACACATAAAAACTAAAATGATGGAGATGATGGAAGCCACAGGAGAGAATGAAAAACACAGTCAGCCCGAATTATGAGGAATCAGATAAAATAACTTTCCCAATTTAAAATCAAAATTATATTAAAAACGTGACCACAATACAGATGGGAAATGCCATGCCTCTTGTGATAGTGTTTGATAAAGTAGATGGAAACTTACTGTGAATGACATATGTAAAATATAGAGACAAAATGTGTACAATAATAATGATAATAAATAGTTGGAATTACTTTGTCATTCTTTGCTCGGCTTGATTTTGATTCCACACAAGGAATTCGGGGTCGTACCTATCAAGGGGGGACAGGCAGAGAGAAACAAGAGAGAGGTATAGGTTGGCTGTCTTTCAAAAGATGCTTAAAAATAGTAGTAATAAAAAATAGTAAATAGAAAAAAATATAGCCATCATCTTTCTCTCTCAACATTTGGTTCTCAGGCAGTGATAAGTGGGATGGGCACATGCTTGTGGCGGTATGGAGGTAAAGAGAGGGTCGTTCTAATAGACTGATCAAACACAAAATGACATAATACACCATGTAACTAAAGCAGAAAAGACCAGACATGGAGACATATGACTCCCAATGGAGGACCACTTGGCCTGCATTGTTAAGATAGGTCAAAACAAATTGGATGTATATGGTAAGCTCTAAACAATTATATATTTATTGTTTTATTAATGCTAAGATGTGTTAACATAAAACAAATAAACAAAACACAACGCTAGACCCTCTCTTTAGCTACTGTCATCAGCATTCAAGTTGCACATGTCTCAGGCACTGGCTTCATGTCATGAAAGAGAGCGAAAGGCCATGCATCTCAAGTCAGTCACTGAATGAGCAATGCAGATGTGATGTCTGTCTACAAACCCACCAACAAACAAACAGACAGACAAACAGAGGATGTGTGAAGCACAGGAGAGAAATAAACACTAGACAATGAGTGAGGTAATCATGGAAACTAAACCTGTTTTATCTGACACATTCAAGATAGATAACAACATCATTATTTATACAGTGACTCTATTATGCTCCCGAGCTGCCGGGTTTGTTTGACAGTAGTTAGGCAGAATACAAGGAGGTAAATCCAGGACACAGGTGGAGTCAAACTTTATCCAAACGAGTGAGAAGACATCATTACTCTAATGGTGTAGTTGTATTTATACACTTTTATGTTCTCCCTCTCACCTCATATACGTGTGCATCTGTCCTGATGTAAAGCAGCTGTGTTGTTCGGCTGCATTTTCGGACAGATTGGCACTGACAGAAGGGGACTCCGCTCTTAACAGCAATAGCAAACTTTTAAATTGGACTGCGAAGTGTGCAGCATTCATACAGGACTGAGAACAGGTCTCTGCGCCAGGCAAACCAGAGAGGACAGTGAAAGATGTGATGTGTTTTACATACTAAAGCCCAGATTCAGCAGCTGTGGTTTCAACTGGCTATATCTGTTAAGTAATTAGATCTTATGTATGATTTAAAGAAAAAAAAAGAAAAATAAAAACACACACAAATTAACCAATTTTTAGCAACAGCATTCTATTTTCATTTGAAATACTAAGATGTAAAAAACTGACATATAGCACCCACGATTATGACCAGTTATGACCAATAATTATGTTTTGGTGAATCTGGCCCTCAGTACGTTGAGTAGATGTGGAAAAAGGGAGCAGTACACAAGCTTCATCACGAGCCATAGCTGATTGTTAGTAAAGCCGTGTACTCACCTTGGGTCTTTCTGAATACTGTCCACAGATGGAGAGCGTCCCAGGGCGGGCTCAGGAGGCAGGGCAGGTCCTGATTTACTGTAGGGCGACTCGGTGGATGGGCAGAACTGCAGAGTGCGGTATGGGTTTCCATAGTCAGATGCCCCTCCGGCTGTGGCGAAACTGGCTCTCTGAAACGTCCCCTGGCTTCCGGTTCGCTGCAAGGGGATTGGGTCAACACCGGGAGAGGGCGGGGCTAAAGAAGGAGTGTAAGGAGAAAGCAAATAACTGAGGACTTCTTGGTACAAGTGGTTCACTACAGGGTCTGGAGATTGAACAGTAACAACATGGGGCCAGTAACAGTCAGCACATGAGGAATTAGACAAGGAGCACCAGCCAAAGACAAAAGCAAATAAAATGGGGAAGAAGCAAAAAGACAAAAGCAATGTTGTAAAATAAGTCAACATATTCACAGGCCAGGTAACATTACAACATTATCTCACCATGATAAACTTGCAAACGTTGTCTGATATGGAAGCTGGAGTATGGCATTCAAAAGGCTCTGATGAAACATTGAGAGGTTTTATCCCAAAATAAACAAATATACCTTTATTTATTTTCAGAAGACCTCTCAATGTTTGCCCATATATTGCCATCACAACTATTAAACCAGCTTAGTATATCCAATAGCATGCATGCAGAAATATCAAAGCCCACACGAAAGCCATGCTGTACAATGCAAATACATTGTCCTAAAGAAGACAACAAGTCACATCACACAGCATCTTATGTTTCATTGAAAGGTCAAATTCTACACAGTAGCAAGTTAAGTACATGACTTCAACTGTCATTTTCTCATAATTTTCTAATTATTTATACATATTTTTGACAAACCTGAAGGGCAAATAAAAAATGTGATAAGGTAAAAATTCTGAGAAAGGAAAATAAAAATCTAAACATTGGTTGGTCTACCATCTATGTAAATATTATATTAATTACAATCCCCAAGATAGAATTCGGAAGTGTTTCTACTAGCTGAGCCACATTTTATTTTGTCAACAAAATTCAACAGCTAACTAACTAAGTTAAATGCTATAAAAGACCCTTTTTATCCAAATATCTTGAGAAATTACTTATTTGATTACATTGTACATTTCACCTGTCACAAACTAGAGTTTAGTATTGTTGTTGTGGCCACCAAACTGCAGGTTCTCTACATGGCTGATTTGCTTAGATTTCAGAGCACCCCAAACTCACGCCCATGAGATTAATAGAGATTAATTCCCATTTTTGAAACTAATTAGTTAACAGACTGTGACTGGAAGACAAATTACCAGTGAGACCCCAATTGGATCTGCCTAACCTGATAGTGTAAAACGCCCGTACCCATGATCAGATGGAGCGCGTATTTCTAAGCAGTGTTTTATATCCCGAGCAGCTTTGACATAAGATGGCATTATTAAAAAACACCTGCCTTTGAAGTACACCGCGTCATTTCTGTCTCACTCTCCATGCCGGAGTAACGTCTTTTTATGTCAATCTAAAACTGGAAACTCTCTGATGTCTGCCGCAAGTCATAGGCTATATATAATGCAATTTGTTGGATAATTACTCAAGCTATTTCAGCAGTTTTATTTTAGAGCAAAGAATAAGTCCTCATATTTTATACATACCCCTAATGTAGTGGCAGGTAATTTAAGGCAGCGTATGGTTATATAGTTGTAATTTACAGGTAGCTCCTCTGAAAAATTAACTCCAAAGAGTAGTTTTATAGTTGCATATGCCTACTTAAAAATAACATTTGATAATGTGTTTGCTTTTATATAATTAACCTTAACAAAGCACTACTTACTTAATAACCTAACCCCAACCCCCATCTTTAATGCTAAACTCATAATCCCTTATTTAAGTAGTTACTAAACCTGAATCAAGTTTAACAAAGGCTCTTTTATTTTAACCTTCTTTGACATATTACTGACACATTTAATTCTTCTTCTAAAAAAACCTAAAGCTCTGTATTTGGCCCCTCCACCAACATCTACTGTATGCCCACATTAACTTCCCCTGCTTACACTGGAACATAAATCTTTGAACAAACATCTCTCCATCTCTGATCTTTACTCTACAGTCCTGTGATCCCCGCTGGGCTTACCTTGACCTCTCAAGTTAGACTTTGTGTAGACCCGGTCCTCATAGATGGGGTCGATGTGGTGCTCTGGGGACTGCAGAGGTCTGAGCTCAGAGCCCAAGTGACTGTGCTGGGAACTGTAAGAGCCCCGAGAGCCTGCAGGGCAGAGATAGAGAGCAGAGGTTAAAAGATGTGAGGAGAAATCCATGGTGTAGTCAAGAGAGTTTGAAGAGTAATAGCCTAATGGTATAATTGCCCTAGTCATTTTCCAAAGTTTAAAGAAAAATACTAAAATAAACTGCCAATGTCAGAAGATGACCGGGGCGGGTTTTGTTTTTTTTGCTGTAAAAATCTTTCTGATTGGCTGAGGACTGAGCCAATGACTTCTGATGCAGCAGAGTCTGGAGATTAGAATGAGGCAGAAAACAATTGGTCAATTGATGAGTTAAGGTAACAAAAAATAAATTAAAATGAAATGTATTTTAAAAATTTATAAAAGCAAATTTTGCAATTTACTATAACCCACTCTGAACAAAGCGGTCACCATAAAGTATTACCATAATAGACAGTAGATTTTTGTAACATGGGAGCTTTGGTTGGAAATGAGTTCCAGTCGTCGTCAGAATAACTCAATTTACCTTTATCAATGTAGTGGAACTTACTAATACAAAAATGACAGATTTCACTTTTCACAAAGTTTGAAACCTGATTGGATTCCCATTTGTCTAAGTTGTTCAAAAATTCATGAGAACATTTGCAATCTAATAAATTTCAGATAAAAACCTCGAGCCAATTTCATCAAATCTGTGTGAAATTTGTTTTCCTCCGTGTTGTGGCAATGCCGCTGCAGAATACCAATTATCATGAATGAAAAGAGGGCTCATATGACCTCTGTGTTCATGAAGACTGATGTCCTCTAGAGACGACACTAGAAAGTACTTGTTTGAACTTAAAAAAATAAATACGTATGGGCTGATATGCACACAGAATAGCCAGAACATTACAGCCACTTGCAACTTTCTGGACAGGTTAGTAATTTAGTTAGTAGTTTAGTCAACTTGCTAATTGCTAATAACTCTTCCTTGTCATTGTGGTTGCCATCACTATGGTTGCTCAACTCCATGACAAGTGCATCCATGTGAAATGACCTTGTCAAACCTTCTAAACTACTAAAACAACACATTCACGTTAGAGCTTGGGATGGATCTATGACTCTGCAGTGTCAGAATACTTTTAAAATGGTCACTAAATACAGTATTTAGCAGCTGTGGTTTAACATTTGGCTAATTGACAATTCTGTTGATGTGTAACATCACAGTCCCAAGCTCTATTTACCTATAACACAAGTTAACATGGAGATAATGAAATCAAAAATATATGCTTGTTCTGTGCATACAAAATACATTCATTTAATTTGACACAGTGGACAGCACCTCACAGGAGACCACAGCACAGCACAGACATGGATAGAGTAATAAAGTTTTGCATTGACCTCTACCTGCGAGGCTCCCAGGCCTCTTTAGAGTGGCATTGGCGTACAGCTCGTGGGAGATCTTATAGGTGTCCGCTCCGATGTGATGCAGCATGCGTTTGGTGGGGGACAGTGTGGCGTAGTTTCCCACCACGGAGCTGAGCTGGTGCAGGGGTGAGGAGCTGTGGTTACCCCCTGTGGACCCTCCCATGGCCAGAGGAGAAGAGGCGCTGGCCGCTCCCGAGGCCACCATGTTGATCGGCGAGGACGTACTGAGACACAAAGACGGCCAGAATGAGGATATATAAAGATACTGTTTATTACTTGAATAATTATTTCTTTTGTTGGCAAAGTAATTAAACTATGAGAAAGAAAGTGAAAAGAATTTATTTACTATTACAGTACTTTGCTACCACTTTATAACAACTTGACACTGATTAGCAGAAATAGGCATGAGCAAATACTTACTTCATAATGAACAAATTGTTTGTTAAAAAAAGATTTTGGCTCAGGGTATTCATTAACTATACATCTGTGTATTACCCTTAAAATTTTATCCATAATGTTATGCTATTAAATAATGTACTATTTAAAAAAAATTTGACCTTAACCTAAGTAGTTACAAAGACAGACTCTTAGACAGATTCTTAATAAGCTATTTGCTAAATATATATGTAAGTGTTTGTTCATGCTTTGTTAAAGATATTAAAAGTTCAGTTCTTATAATGTGTCACCAAAGTATGTAGTAGACATTAGAAGATCGATTGAGCTTAATTTCCCCTCCCACAACATTAATGGTAAGAAATTAAGAAAATTACTTGTGGTAGTTGATTTTGCAATTACGCAAAAGTAATTCAACTTTTATATTGGAAAAAAGGTAATTAAGAAATGCGCAACATCATAAGATCCTTGCAGATATTATAAAAGATAAATGTGTGCTTTATAAAACTGGGTCACAGTAATAACATTGGTGTTATGATTAGGTTCTTCACTCAATGCCCAGTTGACAATGACTCATTTAAACACCAGACAAAATTATCCTCCTCCTCCTTTATAGCACAGGTGGGGTTCCAGACAGTTCGCTGATATTTAAGTTTGACCTGTATCCCTGTGTACTAAAGCATCACCCATCCATTACTTTTGAATGTGTCCCATGTGATTGGCCAACATAATGGAACAGGACCATTACACAGCAAAGTGCTCCTTAACTCTCTCAATGTCCAGTCTCTAAGTGGCTTTAAGGCTGTTATGATCATCTCACCAAACTATAACCAGGATCGTAACTGCGACTGAAACATGAAAGCATTACATGTGTTGAGATATAGCTATAAATTATTACTACTTAAAATAATGAAATCAATTTATGTGTCTTTGAACTTTGTTGCTTTGCATTTCATTGTTTTTTACTGTAATATTTTGAAATACTTGCACCAGACCATAATGGCAGAACTGCAACGAGACACCCTTCTATATTTACTTACATTGCCTTTCTTTTGATTAAAAACATATGAAGTAATATATGATGCCAATACCAGTATGGTTGTGATGAACAGGTCTGAAGCCAGCAGACATAGGGGCTTATCAAAAGAAATCCTAGCTTCAAGTAAAGTAATTTTCTTCTATTGATCAACAACTGTATTGACTACCTACAGTTACGTTCTTTGTGGTGTGTTGTAAGTGGTATTCCTGGGAAACGTACTCCTGACAATAAGATACACTGCGTCTATTTATTAAATGAAAAAGAAATGCACCTGTAGGATTTGGCGAGTCGGCTGGGGGACTGTTTTGGTGAGGATACCCGCTGTAGTGTGGCGTAGCTGGGCATGTCTGCGGAGACCGATCCCAGGCGCTGAAGCTTGGTTGGAGATGCCACTGACTGTGAATGATTTCACAAGATTTTAGCATACACTCGTACTAATTTAAAACAGTGACATAAAGGTGCACTAGGTGTAACTTTTTAGTGTAGGGTCCGTCATCTGAAGCCACAGTGCTGTACTAAATGCATTTATTTAGGATTGCTTCTATTACAGGTGTGGGAGCCTAAACCCAGTTTTGTAATTTTTTCATAACTAAGATAATTATTCTTATTTAGTTTGATTTAATATTTACTTAGAATGTATGATTTTTGGTCATTTTGGTAATTCTTTATTGTTAACATGATTATTTGTTGATTATTTGCTTAAAAAAAAAAAGAAAAAGATTTATTTAAATGTTTTTTTCAATTAATTATTGCTAATGTTAATCATAATTTTACTAAAGTAATGTTTATTTTTTGTATTATTTTGTGGTCTATGGCTCCTTATTTAAGGCGAGTGCAGGTGCAACATGGGAGTGGAGTGGAGCCAAACTGTTTTTTGACCTCCTGTCACCTGTATGTTAAAAAATTCCCCTTTTTGTATGTATTTGTATGTCCCAATTATGTGAATACACAGTAAAGAGTTTTTAACTGCACTTGGATCACTCTCCATGGATTCTTTCATTTTTGAGGCATTTTAAAAGGTGGAATAAGGTGCACAAAGCGTCAACTATGGCTTCACAAATGTGTGGACCTTACAATAGGTGCCTTGAAAAAACGTTGAAAAACCTCATGTAGATAAACCGATGGTAGACCCTCCACGAGAAAGTTCCATAGTGCATCTTTAACTATCAAAACTGAGGAAACATCTGGCAATAGAAAGCCCATTTGGGTTAAGAGCAAAATCAAGGTTCTGACAACAAAGTATGAGGAATTCTATCAAACTTCTAAACCAAAATATTAATAGTGAACATGATTCATTGTAATCAGTAAAATCAATATTTGCTTTGAACATATTTACTTCATGTTTGAGTAAGAACACTGTCAAGTAATGTAAGAAATCCCACAAAATGCTTCCTATAATTGTGAAAAGTCCAGTGTCACTCCTTTAAAATATTAATCTCCATTCATGTACTTTCAGTGAGACAGAAGAACAATGCTTCCATGGAGCAAGAAACCAGAGAGCCCTGAGTCCAGATCAAGAATGAGGAGTTATCTGAGTCGTCATAAAAGCAAGGCTGTGAAATATGAACGCTAAATGATCCTGAAATGTGTCTGTGAGAGGGGCACTTTTTAACTCTGACACTGTGGACAAGAGGCAACGCTTTTACCCCTTCAGATGAGCTCATTGTAATAGAATGTAATGGTCCCTTACATGCTAAACTTGAAACATGAGGTGAATTTGGACACAGATAGGTTGACAGCCTTTTGTTAAGTGCAAAGTTAAATTGGCGATGTCTGTCTGCCATGTTCTATTTCTTAACGTAAAATAGAGTGTATTGAGGATTGAAAGCAAGTGACAGTATTATACAAAAGCTGATGAGATATTATTTGACATATTATCAGACCACAGAATGTATTCAATCAGTGCCAAAAAGTGTAAGTCTTTTTCAAACTCAATATTTTAACTTTCAGGACTACTTCTTCAAGAGTTTTTGTACTTTTCCTAATAATTACCCCAAAGTCTATTTAGTGAATGTTACATGCCTACAGCAACTAACAGAACTTAGAGGAACAGAACTTTTTTTGTGTATCAAAGAAATAATTACACAGCATAGCTGTAAATATGAAAAAAGCGTTGTGTTTATTTTGTTACCTCAGTCATTTTTGTCCGACATTGAAAATGCTGACCCATTGGAGTAACCTTTTAGTTTTAGTGAGGTCTGTTTAATTGTTACAAATTTGAAAAAGAAACTCAAAAAACTATGTTATCAGTTGAATGACCATTGAATAATTATTTCAGATGTTTCAGAGACCGAGAGGTTATTCTTTTATCAACCAAAACAAACAAATCTGATATAATGAAAATGGTAAAAACAAGCTTATGACAATATGAATATTATTATATGTTTGCAAAGTGCATAAAAAGGCACATTTTTCACCTGTGTTTGTGTGAGTACCTGATTGTAGCGGCCAGTGACTGATTCTCCCAGCGCCAGGCCTTGGTTGCTATGGTAACCCGCGGCTGCATATGGGTCCTGGTTGTTGAGCTGCAGAGCACTTTGTGACAGAAGACCTTGTCCTAGAGATGCACAGAGACGAGAAACACGAGCCTCAAAAAACAGTCACGAAGTCACCCTGCCTCTCGATGTTCTTTTGTTTTTGTCTTTTTTTCCACAGCAGAAACCAAAATTGTGTTCTCAAAAGTAAAGTCAATTTCGTTTCAATCTCAATATTTTCCTTCAAATTCGGAGGGGCAATTAAAATGCCATCTGCCTAATACAAATGCAATCTACCAAATTATATCACAGACATTTCTTCAGTTCTGATATTTAGTTGCCAAATTAAAAACAAACTCAAGCCTTACATTACAACTGAGTGAATCTGAATCTTAGTCTGGATTTTATTTCCTAATAAACAATCTACCACGATTTTCAATTCAATTTGGTTTTGCCCATTCCCGAACAAAAACAAAAGCCTAGAGGTCTTCACTTTGTCATTTCAACAAAATTACTCCCTACAGTCTGAACTCTGCTCCAAACTGCATGCTTCACTGACAATTATAAGTGACTGAATCTTGATTAAAATGTGATTAATTGCACAGACCTACTTTAAATGATACCCTGTCTTAGAGGATGACTATACTTTTTGTTACTCATTTCATCTTTCACATGACTTTTTTTATTGACAATGAAAGCAACAATACAAAAACCTTGATTCTTTAATAGCCCCAGAGAGATGGATAAGGGGCTTGAAAGGAGGCCGAATATGCAATGCTTTGGCCTTGTTTTTAAGAGACAGCCATTTGCTTTTTAGCCGCTATGTTATTCCAGTCTTCTCTAATGCTCCCTGACCCTTATGTCTCACTGTGTTCTTGGCCTCAATTTCCAAACATTTCTTCACTGCCTTTCTTTCATAGCCTACTCTCTCCGGGTCTGTCTGTTCCAGTATCTATTTCACTGACGTATTCCTTCCTTTTCTATCCCAAATCTGTTAAATTGAAAAAAGAGACCACAGACATTTCAGAAGTTGAAAAGACAATCCAATCCAGTTTATATATTTCACACACAAAAACTGTTTCCAAAATGCTGCGCATAATTAAATATTAAACAATGGTGCCGTTTTCAGCAAGAAAATTAACTGGTGTGGAAAAAATAGCCTCCTTTGCAAAAGACCACCACAACGGAGAAATGTAACTAATAATATTCAGTAATAATTGGGTTTTTGGTCTGTTCTATGGTACTGTGATCAGACAATTTACCCAATACTGAGAGAGGGTCCTTTATTTAAATGTGCACTAAGTACCTTTTGGTGAGGGGTTCGTCTACTGTTTCCATGGAGATGTAAAATACTTTGCCGGGAATTGAGGCAATCATGTGGTGAACTCCCACACAGAAAGTTACATTATGCACCTTTAAATCGAGAAAATTCTTAACTGCTTAGGATGCTAATCATTTCAGTCATATAGGGAAGCAAGAAACCAGACACGAGAAAACAATACACAGACAGATCACTCGTTTTTAGGTTTGATGAAGTAAAAATGATCTCAACATATGAACTTGTTTGTTGTTGAAAACCCAGTGTCCTTGCTAACATTTTGTGCCATCAGCAGCGAAAACATCAGACTATTTCGAGCGCTGTACCCTCATGTCTTATTTAAAAGGGCTGCTGTGCCTCCCATCAACTTTGTGCAGAGAAAAATAACATCACTGCAGTGTATCGGCGCTAGATAGAGTTACAAATTGTGTTGGTGTCTCAAAGGACTTCTAAAGCTGTCATCTATCTACAAACACAATCCCTCCCATCTCACTTATATGACTGCTTGCCATTAAGTATCTGACTTTCAAATTAATAAATAAAAACTAAAATGTATGAGGCTTCTGAAGATGAATCAAAGAACGTCAGTGGTCAGTGAATGCAACATGAGAAAGATTTTAAGACTGTAGCTCAAAACAAAGTATGTCAAAATAAATCGCTGTTGGGGGGCTGTAACTGGTCATGTTGCATTATTTAACAGTGATATTAAGCTAAGTGTGGTGATAGGTTTACTAGGTCAGAACAGATAAGGTAAGTGTACACGCAGCATGCAATAGTAGCACTTTCACTTCTCAGCTCTCATGTTTGAGCACAAATAAGGGGGACAGTTTTCAGAATATCTGGCAACCCACTTTAAGAGCATTTCACATGGGGTTTTAGCAAGGAAGAGGTCTCATAAATATGCTATAGCAACCACGAAGGCCAGTGACTGCATTTTTATGAGCTACATTGAAAAATATGGAAGCTGTTAGTTTCTTTTTGTGTTTATTTACAGTCATGTGTACCTATAAACTCTAACTACATGGTGTTACTGTTATAATATAATGCAAATAAGCTCAAAGTGCTCGTCTAACTTGTACCGGTCTAAAAGGCATTTGGCTTTTGTTCTGCGTCGTGACCAGCATTTCTATTGACACCTTTAAATATTTCATGAATGTCTATTTTTAGATATCCAACTGAAAGGCTTGTGCTTTCTTGGCCACAACACTGACAACAGATATATTTTTGATTCATTATCACTGAAGACAAATTCAGTCATCACTTCAATAAAAGAGTCCTTGACTTTTGAACATGACACACATTTTATTTTATTGCTTTTGATCTAAAGGAGAGCTATGTAACTTTTGAGAATAATAGAGACGTTTTGTGTGAGGTGAATTTCTATGGCACCAAGTCCTTGTAATGTATGTGAACGCACCAAAAAGTTCAATGTGAGAAATTCACAGCTTCCAGTTCATAGGCGCCATTTTGAGTAGATTTGTTAATTGCCGTGGCAACGGTTATAATGTTTCTTCACTCTAAAACACACGAATAGTTGACGGTATATCATTAGCTCTGTCTTTATGGCACTTTAATACATAACTAATTATTAAGAATCATGCAAGTTACACATTGTCAAAACTAGTATTCATCCATATAACTTTTCATTATATGTTTGGGTTTGTCCGTATACAGCCACCCCATGTTTCTTGTATACATGGTGTTGTGCATGCCTCCAGTTCCTCTGTGTGCACTTAAACAGCAGGCGAGCTGACTCCGCAGTCGGGGAGGATTAGAATATCAAACCCCTCATGTTTCTGACAGTTCCTCTGTCCCATGGGGTCCACAAGCCGCACACACAGGTATCATCTGGGACCTGCTGAAATCTGATCACACTCAACCACAGAAACTCCAGGAGAGTCTAAGACTTCACATAGGTCTAGGGTAAAATTGTGTATACTGCTAGTAAGGCGAGGCAGCAAAAACTCAACAGAGCTGTCAATAATAAAAATCTACATTAATGCCACAATGAAATCATTAAACACTATGGTGAATGTGATTTGTTGCAGGAAACATATGTTGTGAGATCCCTCCCCTCTCTTCACTCCATTTCATGTTATGGATTGCCTTCAGGTGAAAGTAGAACTCAATTTGGACTGAATTCTCTTTTTAGTAATGCTTCAATTAAAAGCTAATGCCATTTTAAATACTGACTGACAGAAAAACATGCATTTAGTTGAGTACTTATGATTCTATAAATGAATGTAGTTATTAGCTGCATTTCCTAAATGTAAACTGAGGACCACTGACAGTAATGCCGACACCGTAAGTGGAGTATAGTAACTTACTGTCTCCTGTACATGCGTCCTGTGAGTCCAGGATTCCAGATTCCTGAAGTGACCGGATACAAGAGTCCACCAGCTCCAGGCCAGTCGTGAGCTCCTCCTCTATGTCCTTCTGGCCATCTGCAAACACATGCAAAAGCACTGGTTTACTCTCAAACCATTTAAGCACAGATGACATTTTTAATGCAAAGAAATTAGACACAAAACAAAAAGAAAACACGATCCAAGAGATAAAAACAGACTATTAATATTATGACCCATTGCTAGAACCTTATAATAATGATATAATAATAATAAGTATTCTTATTTCTTGTCAACCTGGAAGTACCGAAATGAATCCATGAGTATATTAACAATGTCGATATTAACAATGTACCAAAAAAAGCTGTATTTCAGATACACTTAAAGAGGCCATATGTTTTGTTTCATTCACACATGTTTAACATATATTGCATATTTAGGCTTAGCTCTTCTCTCAAATTGAAAACACTCTGTCCCACTTTGTGATGTCATGTGGCAATACACATTGCTCCACTGTGTTTTTAAATTCCATACACCTTCACTAGAATCATTTGGACACTTTCAGCCCTGAAATTACCCGTCTCTACTAAACTAAAGGTCAAAGGTAGATGTTAACTTGAAAACTACAGCTTCACGAGATCACAAGGTGGAACAGAGCCGTTTGACACTCAAAATAAAGAATTACTCAAACAGGTGTGAATGAAACAAAACAAAACTCCAGGTATGTTTTTGATGAGGTAACAACATTTTAACATGGCTTAAAGCTCATAAGAGTCAATTTTGCATACAATAGGACCTTTAAAGGGCCAATCCATAATTTTGGACATAGAACCTCATTTCCTAGTGAGCCAGAGTGTTGGAGACATGTGGAGACACTTTTTAAAATATTCCATCCAGTCCTTGTATTTGCAGAGGTCGATGGTGCTAGGCTAGTGCATGTCAATGGCCATAATTAGCCTGCCACTAAAAACAGTCTTAGTCACTCCACAAAGCACCAGAAGCAAATCTGTGTTGATAGAATAATGTTTGAAATAAAACTAACCTTGCATCACATAAATCAATGCGAGGATTGGATGGAATAGATTAAAAAGTATCTTCACACGTCTCCTGGCTCACTAGGAAATGAGGTCCTATGTCCAAAATTCCAGACTGTCCCTTTAAATATCTACTTCATATTTTGAAGGTGAAAATCGGGTACAAATTTTAGTACAGAAAGTTTTGAAACTAAGGAAAATTGATGTCATGTTGCTGTATTTAGAAATTGTTGTCCAGTCACAAGTTACCAGACAGAAACACTCAGATGAGCCAGATAGAGTGGCATAAATCGTGTGGTGGTAGAGGTAATGGTAATGTGTGTGCTTTCTAAGTGGATTTAGCTGGATAAGTTATTGACCTCCAGCGACACTTGTGGAGACTGATACTGATGCTATGGCTGAAACATTTCCATCTCTTTCCCTGGCGCAGAGGTGAATTTACTGACCCTCACGCTCACCAGCCCAAACTCAATTTTAAACCTGTCCAGAGCTGGAGTGATAGTTTCTTAATGATTCGTAGATCAAAATCCCTGATGGGACTTTCCACTTTTCGTGACAGAATGAATTTGGTCTTTCTTTTTTCCCCCTTTTTTTTGAAGAGACCTTAGCAGATGGGCAAGCACAGTTGTCACCAGCCAGACTCCACTATGAGCTTTTTGTATTAGGCACCTCATTGTTGGCAGAGGTCACCAACTTTGCTCCAGGATAATCAATCTAGTCTCAACCCGGGCCACATCACAACATGAATGACACAGAAGAGAGAGGGAAGAGGAGGGAGGGAGAATACAGCGTCATGCATGGGTGCTGTGGCTGCTGGTGTTCATAGAGCGGACTAAAGGACTGTCAAAAGAAACTGTCAGAAGCAAAGAGGTGACTTCATTTGACTTTTAAATGGTTCAAAAGGTTCACGCTCATTGGATCTTGGTTTCCTCAACATGCTAAACACTTGCCATCTGTCTACAAACAGGTTCATATATGTTCATAATTATGTGCAAATACTTAAAAAGGACTAGAGTTGTCAAAACAATGTGAAACCCAGATACTACTAAAAGCTATATAATAATTTGAACATGAATTAATATTGAAGATTGACACTTCCTGAAAAGTTTTATAACAATTTTAAGTAAGTATGTAAGTATTAATTATGATTTATTTGTTCTTGTTTTATGTGTCTATCTAGTGCAATCAGTTACAACTACTAATTTACTTGAACCATGACTTAACCTATGAAGATGAGGATTCATAAGCCTAAATACAATTTTCAGAAGAATAGAAGCTACTACATTACATTATTACAATTACTTCGATTACTGTAGCCTTTTGAATCCAAGACAAGCACTTTTTTTTTTTTTGCCAATGAAGTCATTAATACTGTAATTATTTAGAGACAATTTAGATAAATTACTTCTCAGGTAGTTTTAAATAGAATCTGGTTGCTCAAGTTAATCATGTGTTTGACTTTATTGTGTTGAAAAAATAAAATCCAAAATACTATCAAAGTGTGGGAGATAATTACCTTGGTTATTCCATCTGAACTTTTCCTCTGCAGAGCTGTAGACACACAGAGAGAGAACTATATTAGAATATAAAGTCAATGATTCAATTTACAGTAACAGACAAACTGAATTGTATTTCAAATATGAGTTTATAATTCAATTCTCAATAACAACCACCAAAGTTGACAAAGAAGCAGCATTCCCATTCTAAGTGATTATTGCATTTAGCTGAAGAATGCAGAGGCCTTGGGCAAAATGACACAACTGTACAACAAACACATTACAGAGAAATAAATGAGAATTCTGAAAACATCCAAATAGTAAGTCAGTAATAATGAAAGATAACCTTCAATAAGTATATAATGTGTGTTCAAACATGCAACGCAGATGAGTCAGAGCAGATGTTTTCCATACCACTATATGCACACATATTCACAGTCAGGTAGAACTTTTGTTCATACTGATATTGTATGGACTGCTTATTAGGTTTGAATGGGCTTCATGTCAGTCAAAGATCAGACCTTGGAGATGGCCTTGGTTATGCTTCATATGCACCTCCTTTTCAAAGCCTGAGCTTCTCTGATCTCAGAAGCAAAGCAGGGTTGGGCCTGGTTAGTACATGGATAGGAGACAGCTGTGGATACCAGATGTCACAGTGTCGCACAAGCAACTTGTCATTGTGTCTTTAAGCAAGACACCTCTCACCACACTGCCTCGTATAAAAGTGGTGTGTGTTCGTGAGTGTTCGTGGATGTTGAGGGGATGATGGCGCAGACTGGCAGCCGTGCTTCTCTCAGTCAACCCCAGGGCAGTTGTGGCTTCTGTAATAATCTTACCACCACCAGAGTGTTAAGTGAATGAACAGTGCACGAAATTGTAAAGCCATTGTAAAATCAATCCATGGGAGCCACAAAATAATATACTGTATTTCCTTTTTTACTTAACACAAATGCTTAAAGGAAAGTTGATCACATTATTAGGTTTATTTGGTGAACTGATATTTTATCTGATATCATTTGAATAATAATGACAGTTGATCACATTTTAGATATTTTGATGAAAAAGCGACAGTACATTCCTATGTATGAATCAAACCTGCCCATACAGATCGTAAACTTCCAGACAGCGTCCATGAGTTCTTTTCCACAACTATCTTTAACTATATGGACAAGAATATCACTCTTGTGTTAAGTGCTTCTTGCTCAAATTGACCTGGGGTTTTAGTGATCGGTCTATTTGCTCCACGGGTCATTTGAATCAAGAGGCTGCAGTGAATAAGAGCTCTCTCCGGTTCTCTCCTCCTCATCTTCCCTCACCTCTGGACCACCACCACTTATCACAGGACTTAAAGCTCACAGGTGATCCTGGCCTCCATGACTTAAACAGGACTGGAGAAGCTGAACAGAAAAGGTGAGTTGATGACTGAGTGAGTGATGCTGATATTCTCAATTATAAAGTTGATAAGATTTGAATACTGTGAATACTGTGATATAGTTAAGCTGATGAAGTATACAAGATGCAGAGAACGTGGTTAGGCAAAAGATTATCTTGTCCAATAATATCAGCTAAATATTAAAAAATGACAAGAGGGGATTTCCATTGCTTCAGATGAAGTATTTTTTACAGTGATTTTTGTTTGTTGGTTTCTATGTTTACTTATTTATAGGTGACACTTTAGGTTAAGGACCACATATTAATCGCTAAAACTAAGTATTAGTTTTTATACTAATTAGCTGTTATTTAGCTATTAGTTGGTATTTATTAAACAATTATTAATACTTATCAACATTTCAGTGTATGTACAAAAGCATCTATTATAATTCCCACTACTTCAATGGCGAGAAAATAGTTAATGTTTGAATATTAATTCTGACTACTACTACTACTACTACTAATACAATAAAATAATTTCCTAATAATATAATAACATCCACTTAAAATACTAAGAAAGATGTAATTAAGTGCTTATTATGCATTTTACTATGAGCTAGCTATTAATGGGGTCCCTAATTTGACGTGTTAGCTTTATACATTTATATTTATTCTTCATAATCATTTAAAAACTAATAACAAGAAGGATCCCTGCTAATTTGTTAAAAAAAATAAAAAAAAATAAATAAAAAATACAGACAGATATTATAATAAAAAATAACAACCTAACTTTATCTTTTCCTACAACCCAAAGCATCCATAACCTCTCTCCCTGCAGACACAGAGCAGATGTGTTTAAATCATGCCATTGATTAGCTCTGTGTGTGCGTGTGCTGTATGTTTATGTGCTGTGTGACAGATTACAAAAGGGAGTCAAGCGCTACATGTTAATGGGACCCTCTGTTGCTAAAGTAGGCTCCTCATTCATCAACCATTATTACCTCCACAATACGCAACATGGCCCACACCAGCAATAGTGTTTCTTATGCAAACCCCCCCCCCAAAAAAAAACAAAAACTACTGAATTTAGAGAGTATCAGTTTACAACTGAGATGCTTGAAGAATGATGATGATGGGATCTGCTGTGACTGAAATGTTAAATGTGCTCTTCATTTTACTCGGTCAAAACAGTTTGGTTTTTTTTAGTTACAAAAAAATCAGATTAGAAAGTATGCAGGTCTTGTTCACTGGTCCTCTTTTTTTTTTCTTTTTACTGAATTTCCTTTTGTTTGCTTAAGGATGACTGTTCAGTCTCTCAGCGCATTACCATTGTCCACAGCTCCTGACCAGCTTCCCCTTTAGCATTACGGGGTCAAATATAACTGGGACTAGATAGTGTAAAGATGGAAATATCCAGGGCAATATTTGAAGAGTTTATATAGACTGGGTAGACAGACAGAGACATAAGTCCGTGAACTATATTTTTACAAAAGGCTTTTTTTAACACAAAGATCAAATCAAAGTCAACTTACTTGGAATGGGGACAACCATCTTTAAACTCCTGAATACTACAAGAGAGTTAGTAATCCACCTTAAAAGCTTTGTTCATGAACTGAGAAACAGAGGTGAATTTTAGTCATTTTTGGCTAAACAGGTTTCACACCCTGAAAAGACCTCTTGGACCAGTATACCGTATTAGCACTTGTAAAGGAGAAGGACCGCATCAGAAACACAGGGAGAATTACAAGGACCCAGAGAAAGAAACTAGTGCTGAATACTATTTCACAAAATGGTTGAAACTAAAATGCATTTAAAGGCACTGTACCTATTTTTTTTTTATGAAAACATGAGAAACAGAACTGGTTTAATTTTAAACCCTTCCTTACGCATTCTGGACATTTTAATGATTCACTGCAATGAGTGTATAAGTGCTTTTCACAACTCTCAGAGACCAGAGCAGTGACGGTAAAGCTAACAACAACTAACATGCACACTTTCTGGTTAACAAACAATAAAATGCTTTATAAATAGATACAGGCAGTATGCAGCAAACAAAATGGAATCTTGTCAGCTTTAAGCCATTTTTATAATGTTATCTCCTAAAAAACATGCCCAGAGTTGTGTTTTGTTTCATTCACACATTGAGTGATTGTTTATTATTTGTTCGTTATTATTCAATCATTATCTGTCTATATCTCCAAAGCTCTGTTCCACATTGTGTTGTGTTGTCATGAAGTGGTAGTTTTCAAGTTAACAGCTACCTTTTTTGTTTTATTCAGAGGGGAATGGCAATTCCAGGTCTGAAATGATACAAATGATTCTAATGAACGTGAATGGTGTTTAAAAACACAGTGGAGCACTTCCTGTATTGCAACATGACATCACAAGGTGGAACTGTTTTCTGTTGTGTGAGTGAAACAAAATATAACTCCTGGTATGTTACAAGGAAATCATAGCACAGATCAGAAAACAGTGTAATATGGGCCCTTTAACAACATCTTTAAGAAGACTATCAATTTCTTGCACTGACTACCTGCTATCACATTTCTTCTCACACGCCTCATCCTCCCCTATACTATATAAACTGACCACTATGTGAATGATCTGACTGACCTCATGACTATGCTGTGAGGAAACACCAGTGAGGAGTTAGTGTTTTCCCATAGATTCCCTTTGCTGCGTCGATGGGCTGTGGCAGTGTAATTAGTGACCGAGGGGTGGACTCATTGACTGGACGATCAAAAGCCGTGTGCTGCAGGTCACGCCACTGTTCGGCCACTTCATCACCGCTAATGACAAAACGCATGTGCCACGGAGAGGTGTTAGGAAAGCCCACTTAGCCAGACCCAGATCACAGCACAGAGCTGGAGACGAGTTTTATCCAATATACGCATGATAAAGTCGAGGATAAATTCTCCAGCAAAGGTGCCCATATATTTTTAGGTGTAGGATCTAAAACCTCTTATGGAAAAGTTGTTATTTCACCAGGAAATTACACAAAATGGTTAATCAGGTAGCCAGCTGCATGGAGACAAGAAGGGGACTCTACAATTCAATTAAAAAATGTATACTATACTGGCACATGGCAAATTGTCCAGGCAAAGCAATAACATTTTCATGGGACATCAGGTGACAAAGTTGACTCTTGTGAGCTTTAAACCATGTCTGAATGTTGTTACCTCCTCAGAAACATACCTGAAGTTATGTCTACATAATTTCATTCACCTCTCACCTGTGAGTGGCCATAATGCAATGGCTGATGAGTGAATACTGCAGCAGTGTCATATCCTGTTCACAGCCCCAGATACTTTGCATAATCCTAAATAACATAATCCCAAATAAGGGACAATGTTGTTTACAGCTTCACTGCACTGACACAATGCTGGATTATCTACAAAGGCCTTTAGCTACTCTTTTAAGATACAGTACACAAATGACCTTGCCAAATTACAATCTCTTTATAAAGCACCTTTGAACATCCATCTGTTGCAAATAAAAATGTTTTCTTATTGTCAGTATGGCCATTTCTATGAATTGTTTTCTAACATGGTGCCTTCTGTTTTTGACATGTCTACAGTACCTTGCTTTATAAACTATATAAAATAAAATAAACCTCATAGCATAGTTCAAAGCTACCTTGTGAATAATTTTGTTTTACTAACAAGAAAAGGAATACTTCCAAAG